TAAGTGGGAGTAGAAGAGATAACTTCACAATTGTGCGAAATACCCGATTTGACTGGGCGCTCATGTCTTGAGGTTGCAAGCATTTAAGGTAAAATATTTTACCCATAGATGAGGTGGTAGAGAGAGATATCTTTCACAATGTTGTTTGTACGAAAGTGAATGCAACGAACATGATTATATTTCGAATTTGGCTGGCCGATTTTTCTTTCTGAGTCGTTAATCTCTACACTACCCTCACATTCATGACAGACACAACTAACCGGGAAAAATAATGCTGCATTTTCAATAATTGTGTCAATTACTTATATTTAATAATAATTAATAATCAACCCGAGTATGAAAGGATTTGAATAGAATATATGTGTTATACTTTAGACAGAATTCATAACTTTTCTCTTTTCAAAGAGACACAGAATTCCTATCCTGACGTGAAAAGCAAAAATGTATGAGATTTTTATTTTACTTGTTATTGATAATGTGTAACATGCGTTGAGTTCCGTTGGAGTTGAAGATAGAATTAAACTTGACGTTTAATTCTAAGTCGGTGTCTTCAAAATTCATAACATTTACTGACATGAAATTATTTTTCGTTCAAGTTTTATCTCTATCTTATTCAATTATTGTTGAAAGAGCAAATAAAAACTGAAAGAATAACAATAGATAGCGTAAATTACATTCAGAGATTTCAAGAAATTAACTATATTATTTATTCGGAAAAGCAAAATCGAATAAATTTAACGTTAATTGGTGCTCTCCATATACTTATGTCATGGCAAATGTTTCAGCGGTAGACAGGCTGCGTCAGATAATTGGGAACAAATTATCATGAGAAAAATACAATGGTAATGGTTAATAGCCTTTTTCCTATTGACCGAGTAGCCTTTCAGTAGTTTCGGTTGAAATTTATAAAATATTTCGTCAAAAACAATTTTTAAGGAAAATAGTTTTCTCAAGTCTGGTAGCTGTCATCAATCTTTCCAATATTGTTTGGGGGTGGGGATTTGAACTCCAGTGGAATATCAACACCATGATTATTTTCCTGTATGAGTCGCAGGTGCTAACCATTTTACTTGTTGCTACAGTTGTATGTTCTCAAGAGATGTGGTTTCTGTTATTTGGTACAGTTCTTTGTTTGGAATTATGTTCCAGTTCGCAATGTTTATAGAAATATGGTCTTTGCAACGAATCTCTGGCTTCATACGCTTAAAACTATTTTTAAATATTGACCTGAGATATCAGTTGAATACAGCAGATAGTTTAGATAATTCTGGACAGGATTGGCGCCATTAATGACAGCCATATAAAAGTCTCGATCTGACGAAGCTATTTAAGAAACCTGACTCGAGATTCCAGGTTAATGTAGAAATTTGAGGTGTTGGGCGAAACGATATCTGGCGTATACTATTGAAGATATTTAGTTGAATAATCAGTATCATTAACAATAACTATTGTACACATGCATACCTATAAGAAAAGAAAAGCTCATTCAATAAAAACGGCTCCAATCTCGATGTCGGCGTTGATTCAACCTCGACATTGACGGAGAAGATGATTCTCATTAATGTTGTCATCGGATTGTGAAATCGGTCGTTTGTATCATGCAGGAAAAAAATATTAATCGAATGATGTAAGATTGATAGAAAAGTGATATTAATTCTAACATCCATCTTTTAAACTTATTATATTGTACATCTTTCAAACATAACTCGTTCAAATCAATTCCGGAAAGAAAATCAATAAATAAAATGTCGAGGCAGTTTACGTTCTCGCGAAGGCGTAAAATTATAGTTGAACCGGAATCTCTTTGCAACAAGTGCCTGGGTTAATAATCGCGGTCAGAATCCAAACGCTTTTAGCCACAAAGGTCAAGAGAGATGTAGAAACTCATGCCAGACACGCGAAAGAACGTACTCGGATTCCGTTCAGCAAGGGCCAGGCAGGGTTGGAGTTCGTTCGATAATTCTCCAGATCCGAGTGACTCATCTGACAACAATGTCAAGAGTCTCTCACTTGTTCCCTTTCTCAGAACTGCAGACAGAAATGGGGGATTTATTTTGCCTAAACTGAGTCGAATGAATTCATTGTAACCTTTAGCCTTCCTTGGCAGCCGCCTTGCTGAGATTCTACACAAACCGATATAACTTGGCCCGTAAGAAGACCATTTCAACAAGATTTATTCTCAGATAACTGCAATAGGGTCACGATTTGCACGCCTGGTGAAATTCAAAACCATAGTGATCTACCTCAATCTTCAAATTTGGATTTAAGGGAAAGATACGTTGATGAAGAAAGTAGGAAATTTAGAATCAGATTTAGCAACTAAAAGATCAAAGGTCTTCTTCGCTTGCTGGACAAATTTAGATAAATTTCTCTATGTTTGTTCACATATAATTCATAGTGATGTACAAAACCTTCGTTTTATACTAAATAATTTATGGTTTTGTTATGATATTGTAATTTATATTTGGTGAAAATCGTCATTGATCCAAGAAAACTATTCAAGGTATTTTCATTTAACCATTTTTAAAAGGTAGTTTTGTTTCTGATTAATAAATCTTGAAAAAAAAACTGATCGAACTAGTATCAAAATAAATAACCTAATCACGTGATTTTACTTATTATAATTGTTTGCTGCAATTTGGTAAAAATACATTTTGATCATCCCTGATTATTAAAATGTTATACTATATTACCCACATAGACTGGCATACACGTAAAAAATGTGAACATTTTATTCGTGGAATTAAATTTGTAGATTATCATTCACTGAACTCAAGACTCGTCAATATCGAGAAATATTAATATTTTATTATTTTAGACGAGGGCCTCTTTTTCATGATATAAATATTCTTGATATTTTACAAAGTTATTGGATATAACTATTATTTACAAATTCCACGCTTAGAATATTGCGGCCACATATGGTCCTGTGCCTCTGCTATTTGTCATGAGAACTTTGATAGAATCCAAATAAGAATCAGCAATATTATCGGTCCTGATCTAGTGGCTCCGCTTCCGTCTATTTCTCATCGCCCTAAGGTTACCTCTCTTTGTCTTTTCTATAAAGACTTTCATGATAATTGTTCTGATAGGCTCTTCGCTATGGTTCCTAAAGTTTTTTTAAAATTAAGCGCAGTACTAGACTGGCGTCAAGATCTCATCAATTTGCAGTTGTGCTGGCTAGATGTAGCCGTAAGTTCTATGCAAACAGTTTCCTTTCTCGCACTTCTCGCTTATGGAACACCCTTTCTGTTCCATAATTTCAAATTTAATGTGCAAAAAAATTAAATGCAATGTCAATCGCTATCTATTGTTCTGCTGATTACTTAATCCCATCCCGCTGATTATTAATCTTTCTGTTTCTAATTCTTCCACGCCCTGTAACCGCTTGTGTCTTAGTGGCATTACTGTTTTGCATGGAGTGATAACGATGAAAAAAAAGTTTGAGACATTTTACCTCATTGATACCCGCATGATTTTTACTTTGTTTTTTTGTTTGTATGTTTTTTGGTAGAGGAGTTATATTTTTTCAAAAACATATGCACAAACATTGGGGTAGAATAATTATTTATCTTCAATCACTAAAAGAATAAATGAATAAATAGTTTTATCAATTTATGTAAATCTTTGTCCTTTAATAATATATATATATATATATATATATATATATATATATATATATATATATATATATATATATATCCGTTTGTTCTTTAGTTAAAAGAATTCTTTTTGCTTTTACAAAAAAAAAATAAAATCTATATAGGTATATATTTTACATAGCATAGATATTATGAGACGGAACCCCCCGATTCTTAAAGGATTTTTTTAAATCATTATTTTTCGTTTCTGAGAAATGTCGCGCCTTCGGGAACAAACTCTAAAATGTGCTGGTAGACTCGTCTACTTAGCCATTGGCCTTCAGGTTACATGTAATAGTCTTAAAAGTTTCACCTACAGGAGTAAAAGCTTTCGGTGATTCATTGTGAAGTTAGAAAAATAATGTGTACAACGAAATTGCCTGTTAAATGTTGAGGAAAATATCGTCATAAGACTTTCTATATATATATATATATATTAAATGAATCTTATTATTGATTCTTATTATGTCCATATCGTATATCTGGTCGTCACTGCTGGAAACTTAAAAGTAATAAGACTCCAAAATTTACGAAAACTATATGTGCAGACCCCATCACCTCTGTGTTCTGGATAATCGCAATTTTTCCATGAATTCCTAATTCATTCGGTTCCGATTCTAGAATGTGAATTTGTTTTTCGCCTGCTAACTTTTATGGACATGATCGCCACTGACATGTTCCACTTTTCTAGATTCCCATTGTAGATAGGACGGTCTTATTGCAACGGATTCTTCGAGTGGAAAAGTGCTGCTTGGATGCCTTGAAAATCAGTAAAGCGATTACCAAATCCTACTAGAACTGATGCTTATCCACAGAAATACAATATATGGGAATCCATATTTCCCTTACGCGTATCAATCTTCTAAGAATTTGAGAAAAGAACGAATGAAGATAACAGTATTGTTAACCGAGAATAAAGAAATAAAAATATTGTTAAATGAATCAATGAATATAGCAGTTCTTGGCAATGCTTACAAGTCAAAAATAAATTAACTGATATTTGGATACTTTTAGCAGAGAGACTTGAAGCCTCTACTCCTCATCGCCTTTCATTTACGCTGTCTGGCCATCAGTTGGTCTGACCGGGTCACAAATGCTATATTTCTTACCCGTACCTAGTTAATCAGCCAATATGCCCTTGTACAACAATGGCGACTCAGCTGGCTAGAACATGTAGACCGTATGTTGGATGGAAGTATTCCAAAGGTCCTTCTGTACGGGGAACTGGCCAGCGGCAAGAGGGGACGAGGGCGACCACATCAGGGCGATTGACCCGGACAGAGATGGGAAGACGTCAGGAACGATCACTCACACTGGCGACACGATTTACACCGAGGAGAAGAGAAAACTAACACTTACCGCCGGTGTAAAACGTACTCGACGAAAAGAAAATAACAAGGTGACATTGGGAGAGGCGCTTCTCCAGATGCAAGCATTACAAAAAGAAAAAAAGTCACTGGTCTAGTATAACTGGATAAAGGCATTGATCAAATCCAGTGGCTAGACCCAAAGTGTTGTGAGTTCAATAGCAGACTACAGCTATGGTGAACCAAAAAACTTGGAGAGTTGAGTTAAACGGAAATAACGGATCCACCCGGAAGAGGCATGGCACGTGCAACTAGAACAATCTACCCGGATGGACGAAATAAAGGGTTCGATTCGAAATTCCAATCACCTAGAGAAGGCCGAAGCGTACAACGGCTGAAACGTTATGAATATGGCAATGAAGATGAAGATAACAGTCCGAATAATGTAAATAATCATAATACTTCATCTCAGAGATATATACAGATATTTACTGGATTCATTTAGCTAGTATAATTTTGATTGATTTCATTGCTTTACAAATATAGTATTGAACTTAATGATATACTGTTGGGGTTTAATTGTAACTTGAAGCATGGTAATTTGGTTTTCTGTTTTGGGACTGTAATTATACTTGAAGAAAAGAATAAAGTTAATGTATCTGTTTATTATTTGCGCTTATAAGAAGGGGACGACTTCTCCCCTATTCACTTTAAATTTAATGCAAATTTACTTTTTGAGAGCTACAGTTAGGTAATTGATGGCTGATTTTTTTATTTTATTTTTCTCTAGATAAAACTTAATTAAATGATGAAAATAAAATCATGGAAGCAACTTCACATAGCCCATCAATGGAATTTATTTAGAAGCTGAAGAAGAGAAATATTCAGCTCTGTATCATTTGTCAAAAAGTTTAAGGACAATTAGCAAAGCAAAAAAAACTCAAGTGTCTTAGATGATGATTTACTGGTAGAGTTAACAGGTTAAGACATTCAGATTATTCATTATCATGTTCGAACTTGTTATTCCAAGCATACAAGCGTTCTGGTGAAAGACAAAACAAAAGAAGTACCATAGAAACGTTCAAACCCAGAAAGTTCTATAGCCAGTAAGTTATCTTCGCCTGAAAATAGGCAAAAAACACGAAAAACACTTGTAGAAAGTGAAGCCAGGAAAGAAACCTTGCATTATTTGTGATAAAGTGAAGTGTAAACGCTCAAATGAACGCCTTTGAATTGAAGATACTAAACGTGAAGCTAATTTTCTAAATATCTATAAGTTTAATAAAGATGTCGTTCATACATGATATATATTGTACTAATTGACAAAGGATTTGTTTGCAGCAGATATTATGTATCAGAAATCGTGCTTGGAAGGATATTTACTTCAGTTCAAAAGAAACGTTGAGACTATTGTCAACTTTCAAGCAGAAGAGAAAAATCCCTTGATTTGAAAAATATGTAGGTATGCTTTATCGAATATACGAGATATGTTGAACAAAAGACTTCAAATCAACAATATTGGTAAACAATTCCTTCTCAATGTGCCTTATTTTACTTACCTAGATGCATGTTAAACTGTTTACATTTTCTCTATTTGTGTTACCTCCCTGGCCTCGTTCCCACTACGATCAAGATTTTTCAGTTGGTTGACCAGATATGTGGAACAGTGTAACCTACTTTGTTAATGTCATATTTATATTCCGGTTGAGTTGATATTCGATAAAAATTTGACATCAACATATACAATCGGAAGAACCTTCTTTATAAATGTTCACTGTATTTTGGTATTCTAATTTAATCAGTAAGAAAACCATGTAAGCTTTAATAATAGGTTCTGCACTGTAAAATAAATTTACGGTGGTTAGGGTCGAAAGAATAGATGGATTTCGTTAGATGTTAAACAACAAATTTTTTAGGAGTTTATTGGTTAAAGCGTAGTTTTCAAAAATTAATTTGATAGCATGTAGTAATACCACCAGATCCACCAACAGTTTCAATAAATTATCAGTTGCCACTATAGACAAAAGCAGTGGCGTCTATTTGATGTCGATTTTCGTTGCTCGTTTCATTTTCAAGATTTTAGTCCGTGGTTCATGAATTTGCAAGTTTGATTTTATGGTAGTGCGCAAAATAGTGAAGTGAGGTCAAAAGATGCCAAAACTTGAGTACCATCCTTTTAAAATACACGTTTCTTTTAAAAGCAACTCCATTTTTCATTTCAGCCTCAAGTTTCTAAGCTTTGATCCAAAATTTGTGTAAGATCTACAAGTAGCCCACCCCAATTATATTTTTAAAATGCTTTTCAGAGGCAGTAATTTATTTTTATAAAAGAAGTTATTTATTGACTGCAATATTTACCACGATATCTTCAATATTTAGGGCAAATTTCAGCCTCAGCACTTAACAACTGAATTGCTTATTAAAAAAAGCGTGTAATCAACAGAAACACGCAGATTTACCCTAAGCAATAAATCGTTTTTTTCAGGTATCAATATATCCAATCGAAGCTTGAAAGGTTTGGTCATAAAGGAGTTTGGAGATAACATTTGTTTTTCGTGCCAACTAGAACCCCTAGATAATCTTCTCCAATAAAATACAGTCAGAGGATATTATTGAGACCTTACGCAACACTGATCCTGTTAAAGGATGTTCAACATCATAGAGAAATATGTGAGGACTTATACTTTGTCGTTCAAGGCAGTTTAACTTCTTCAGAAGATTTAGTCCAAAGTTCAGAGCATTACTATGAAAATCAACCATCTTCATGCAATTCTTTTTTCAGTTCTCGACTCGAAATACATCTACAAGCATCACGAGAAAATGTGAGACGATTTTCCAGATAGTTTTGTTCATAATGGACAGAAGAAGACACCACTACATGTCCGTCTTTGGGAATGTGTTCATTATACTTATAGATTAAAGACACTGATCCAGATAATGAACTGGTTAGGATTCTGCATAAGCTATCATGAACTGTAAAGAATAGACACAGGATGGCTACCTGAACTATCCAATTAGCAGGAAATAACAGCGTCGCAGTTCAGAAAACTATTGACAGTTCACCAATCATACATGCTGCAGTAGATAATTATCGCAATGAGGAAGGTACTTCTTCCGGGATCGGCGCAGCCAAGACACCATCCTGATCCTTTTTTCAAATTACAGAGAACAATCAACAGATAAGGAAGGCATCTGCAGAGTTTGTCACAATAAGACGTTCTTTAAAACAAATGTTAGTGTGTCAAAACCTTGAGAGAGGTGCAACTTTTACAACTAGAGCTGAAATATCTGAAGATTTCGAGATAAACAAAAGTTACAATTTTCAAAGGTCATCACGTGCAGCTTCCATGAGGTACAAAGCTTGGATTCTATATTGTACATTCAAGGATGTCTATCCTTTTATCTGTAGATTCTAGTGGTATTCCATCCTTCACTGCTGCCAAGATTATGTTAGCAATCAACACGAAACCAATTACAAGTTAAGCATTTACTCCTATAATCCCACATCCTGCGACAGAGTATGATTCTATTTTCAGAGCTATGGTCAATTTTCAAGATGTTTTGCCGCAGAGAGGCCAGACTTTTGGTCTTCTCTGGTTTGACGAAGGAGTTTATAGATTAGCTAAAGAGCTTCAACTGAATCATCCAGAAATATTTGCTAATACTTTTCTTCGAATAGGAGGATTCCATATGAAAAGTCAATAATTGCATGTTTAAAGAATACTTAGAAGAAAGTGGAATCGGCAGAGTTTTGGCTGCCAATGAAATTTTTGGTCAACAAGTTGTCAAGTCATTTATCGAAGGTAACCATTATGTGCTAGGAAAACGGGGAATGTCGATAATTGAGTCCATGGAGCATCTAGTTATCTACTTTCTTCAATGCAATCGATACAAACAAGTATGGAGATCTTTTTGTTCAACTTAGCTATAATCTTTATTTCATGCAGCTGACCTCGGTTTAGATGTGATTCGTGTGGCATAGGCAAAGTTCGAAGACGAGATTGTGAACCTTTTAGTAGATTTAGACAATTTCGTGATAACTGGCAGCTCAAGAAGTCTATTATTTCAAAATAGGGAAAATTCCTCAATTGTACTACCACAATCCTTCATGACTTCACTAGATCATTCCATGAGAGATACTAGAATCTGCGCTTATCAGCAGTTAGGGGAGGTATACCACTATGCTTTGCATTTGAACGTGTCCAAAAGGTGGCTCCCTTTGGCAGGTGGATTTGCTGTGAGGCATACAAAGAGAAAGGCAAGCCCTTGAAAAGACATACAATAAACCAAAAAAGAGAAACTCCGGGATTGTCGGTATCTCCCGGCGTAAAGATTCTGTATGTCGACGGAACATCAGAAAGCATGAGAAGGTACAATTCAAGAACGTTTTGCAGGAATGGTGTTGTTTGAACGAATATCATGAGTATGTGCTGCGCCATGATTATTCCATACGTACAACTGTCGCAGACAAAAAGTTTGTTAATGGAGTTATACAGTATGTCACTAAACATGGAAACCCTTTTGACAGAGAAAATTCTAATGAACTGTCCAACATTGTCACCAACTCACAAATTGATTTTGAATCAAGCACTTTCTTGTGTCAGTGTTTAAAATTAGGAAAAGATGCCTACCCAAACTTCTTCTAGATTCGATTATTTGATAAAATTAAAGACTCTTTGACACTATACCAAAGACGAGAAATGCCAGGAGATCTACATTAACCATACAAACGTTTAATTTAAAGAAGGAAACAGTGTCTTATTAGATAAATAGACTATGCAAGATCACGAAACTATGAATTGAGAGATCTCTTACAATTTTTACAGTCTGCTTCATTTTTCCTAACAAAAGCTGGATATCTTCGCAAATCAGTCAAGTAAGATCGTGCCTCAGATTTAAAGATGTTCAAGGATATAATGCCTGAAGAGTTACCTTATGCTGTTGAGAAAAGAATGGCGATTTTTTATTTCATGGATTTTGCCCGTCAAGTTCCAGTCAAGAAATATAAGTTGAAAAAAATTCACCTTTGAACAAGCTTTCAAGGGTTAGCTGAAGATTGCGAACGCATTGACATTATATTTGACTTATTCCACCAGACG